TGGTTGGAATTTTGCGATGCGCGTATACTTATTCGCACGAGTATGCCAATTCACGAGAGTCACGCACACGAGAAGCGACGCGGACGATCGTGTTACAGTATATATGGTCGCGTGCGGCACTTTGATTCGCCCGGGCCGTTTGACGAGTCGTGCAACAGCTCGATTGGGTACAAGTGCGCGAGAGTGCGGTCCGCGCCCTTTGAACGGAATTTCGCCCGTGCACGAGCGCTCGACCGGTTTTCACGCGGTCGATGCGATGCTTGAAATTCTCCCGGGGGGTTGTTGGGACCCGCGAATTTCGTAATTCCTCCACATGAAAACGATTTTCGTGAAAAAAAAAATCGTAGTCGCATTTCATATGGCAGCGCAAACGGAGTAACCGAGAGAGTAACGCGAGACGAGCCGTAGAGGAGGGGGGAGTCGTTTCGCGGGACGTTGAATAATTCAACAAAACGTGAAGAGAGCATCGGCGGCGTAAAATTAACCGGCCGTGGTGCACTCTACACCGTCACTTTGAATAAACAATGTATACCCCCCCCCCCCCAACTTCTATAATTAGTCAAGCGCACCGAAACTTGGCCCGGCATCACTATATACCCTATTATACCCGTGGTTGAACGCCTGACTGGCTCATGGCTCGGTTTGGAATTACCGATCGATCTCCACCCCCATCACTATACACGTGTACTCGTGTACATCTTTTGGCGGATCCGTGAATAAGCCGTGCTTTCATAATGTACAACTTCCATCGGGCATTCCCCATTAGTACCTACATCAGGTCTGATGTTTGTGCAATCGCAGGGACCTCCTGGATTAACCATAGAGATATAACTAATAGAGTTGGGGAGTCGCCTTAAAACATGTTCCGTCGGTAGAGAAAGAGAGGGGGATTGAAGTGATCCTCTACGTATAGATATACTTCCAAAGTTTTCATGCTTGTAGGTGGGGTGATGGAAGGTCTTTTCACTCTCTGTCTTTCTCTTCCAACGAGACATTTACACTTACGCGTTAGGTACTCGCTCCCCTACTCTATTAGTAATATCTCTATGGGATTAACTTGTTCATTTCATTAATTTGCGTATAACTATAGATGGATTTTTCCAAACTCTGTTTTGATCGATCGATAGTCACTACTTATGGCCAGCTCTATATTTTACATCCTAATACAAAGTGCAAGAAAGTACGCTGGTATAGTGGACGTTCAACAATTGTGCGGCGCTTACCTTACAGAGCTTGTAAGAGAAGAGACAGCTACAGCGTTGATGTTGACGAACGCTAGAGGGTACAAGTGGAATATCTCCATTATAGCTCTGTTGCCGTTTACGTTTCAGCTGTACACTTTAATCTGTAACTCGTTCATTCCAACCCAATACGTCGTATCGATTATACCATTGTGCGGGAATCAATGGCTATATCTGACGTGTTTATCCGGAATTGCGAAGGTCTGGTTGGAGCCTTTTTTTTTATGAAATATGGCGTTGTATACACGTACAGCCAACGATCGAGTACAGGTGGTTACGAAGGACAAACGAGAGAGACGTGCAAGCGAGTTTATCACGAATCAGTGCTTTCACGAGGATTTTCCATCATCAGTGCTCTCGATCTAAATCGCCGCATCGCCTTCCGAGATGTCGCATGGAACGAATAGACTAAAAAAAAAAAAAAAAACAGAATTGCTCCTCTGTTGTAGTCTTTGTAAATGCAATTTGGTACGATTTTGAAAAGTTTGACCCCCTTCTGCACTGGTAAACCCCTTCATTAGCCAACCAAAGTCATCAATCGGCTCAAACATTGACTTTGCGCTTTTAACGCCGTGTGATTAATTACGCTGATTTCACGGAAACAAGCGATCGGCCGATGATCGACTCACTTAATCATACATGCACCGATCCCTTATATATATATTCTCGTATCCAGTAGAGCTTATCCAAACGTACACTCGAGTCGTTCTTTTTTTTTGCATCTTTGCTCTTGCCGCACATTCGCGCGCCAACTCGAACAACCCGCGACCCCGTGACGTTAATCAACCGGAGCTATCTCTGCGCCGCTCCTCTCGCATTAAACCTGTTTAAACTAGCCGCGCTCCATCTCATCGTCGTCCCGGGTTTACCTCTCGAGCGTGAGCTGTAGGAATTAAATATTAATCAATTACTGCAGTTCCCAACATATTGCCCGAGCCGTTCCTTTTTCCTGTGGGCTCGCCGATGTTGCGACCCACAGGCCAATATTATTCTCCGTTGCGACGGCGCCCAACTTTATTCGTATACCCACCGCGCCGCTGCCACACTCATTAATCTCTATTGTGCAAGTTTTCTCGTAATCCTATCTTGTGGTAGGGGGAGGGGGAGGGATGTTTGGTACTTTGTTGTTTTATTTTTTTCAACTTTGCGTCGTGGGTGGTAGAATTGCGTTAAAAAAATTGCCGCGAACAATTTTCAAAAAGGGTGGATAGGGGAGCTCAGACAAAAGCGAGACGGTGAAAAACAAAAACAAAAAAAATAAGTGAAAAAGTCTACTTTAGAAGCTTATTGGCAAACGAACCTTAATGCCAGCGTGTATAAACCCACTGCGTGCGAACGTCGACGCTTGGTTTTTCTTCCAAAGTTTTTTTCTCTCATGTAAGTATACATAGGGAGGGTTACCGATGCCTATCATGCCATAGACATTTAATTAGGATACCTGAAATATAAAAAAAAAAAAAAAACGAAAAAAATGCTACACGATTCTCTTGTAAAATTTGTTTCGAGTCGATCGAAGAATTCCTCCCCTGAACCCTTTATGACGTATACCAAGATCTTTATTGGATGTCTCTGTCAATAATGTACCGATTTCCCTCGTGCGATAATGACGTTTTTTTAAGTTTAGGGCCGTGTATTACACTCCAATACCTTAAAAACAACTTTCCAAAGTTGGCACGTGCCGCTCGAAAAACCCTTTGATTTACCGGTGAACCTCCAAAACGCAACACATACACACCGCGTTAAAGGAAACTCGGCGAAGCTGCACCCTGCATCACCCGGCCCTTGACACTTTTCAAAAACGAGACTACGTTCGAAACACTCGAATAAGGATACACGTATACATGCAGAAACGCGAGTGAGCTTGAACTCCGCGCGGAGCAACACACGCGATAGGTATATAAAAGTACAATTTGCATGTTTGCGTGCGCCTTCCCGTGCACCCATCGGCTGGTGGAAACACGCGACGAACCCTGACCGTGCACAACTTACCCTCCCTCCCCACACACACACACACAAGGCACGTTCGTCTCTCCGTGTGTATGTCCTGTTAACTATTCGCGTGGATCTCGAGGGGTATATTTTGGGGCATCGATTTTTCCGCCTCCCTCCCATAGGTACACACATACACTATACACGCATGTTTCGAAATCTTGTGCCCCACGCACGCCCCTTACGCGATTTAAACACAATTACGATCTCGCGCATATCGGCTAAAGAGGGATATCAGTCCCACCCCCTCGTTTTGCACTATTATTCATTCGGATTAGAATTTCACGGTCCGCGCGGAGAGAGACTCGAGCGCTGAGTTTCGCGTTTGGCTTAGAGCGCGCGCGCGGCTCGGCAAATCTCCCCCCCCCCCCCTCATAACTGCTTAACGCTCTCTCGTTGTGCAACGACTTCATATACCTATATCCATGAATACATATATACGTAAATACACGGGCATAAATGACGTACTTAACGACGCCCCCCTCCGGTGCCGGTGTACAGCTGTACGTAGGTATACGCATGTGTTTCCGAAATCGTTGTAACGATTATAGCTTTACTGTGTACTTTATCGTCGTCTCTTGGTGGACAATAATACTGGGCGATGGACGGGTTGTCCGATAAATCACTCTCTCGGTCTAAAATAAACGGCGCACGTTTTCCTCGGGACCCTACACGTTACGTCCCCAAGTGATGCGCGCGTAGAAAAAGACATTTAATACCAAGGGTGTGGGGGGTTGGGGGGGGGGTAGGGAGGGAGTATTGTTTTTATGTTCTCGTAAAAACGTTGGATGTTATCTCGGCAAAGTATCATCGCGGGGAGTCTTGTTCGCTTTGCCAGGCTCCCGTTTGACACGCAATTATTTTAGATATCCGTGTGATTCGAGGAAAACTCGATCAAACTTGCATCTCACCCCTGTACGCGAAACATTCGCAAACTGCAGTGCATATACCGATATAACGTACGCCAACATTGCCGATCCGTCTCTCTCTCTTTTGAACCCGAATGTCTCCTTATTCCTCCCTCGTGGTGGTACTCAAATTTTCCTCTCCTAAAATATTCAGGCGCCCTCGTACGCACGTTCACGTGTAGGTGCGCCAAGGACGCGCTACCTCCCCCCCCCCGTATGTGTATAGGTGCTCCAAGAGGTGCCTTATCCCGTCGTTGCGCTATTATGTTAATGGTCGATGAGAAAAAGACGATTGGCTGCACTGTGCAATCGAGTCGCTTATTTTTCGCGCTCCCTTGCGGCTTGTAGGGTGTAGGCGTGTATATTTATAGCAGTGGCGGAGGGGTCGAAGATAACGGTATTGCAGGGGGCTCCTCGATCATCGCGGCTTTCCGGAAATAGTGTAACCTTCGGGGATCGTTTTTCACCCGCGGCCTGACACTTTTACTCTGTGTGCAACTTTTACATTTTTAGACGACCGGCAGGGAAGCGACGCTTGAAACATTGCCCGGTCTCTTGTTGGGTGTCGTTGATATTATACAGTTAAATCGTTGGGTTGACCATCCAAGGACCCTAAATAACTATCCACTCAATTTTTACCTTTCAGTGCATCGCGGTATATACGTTATCCCTTGTATTTTTAACGCTCATTCGGTGAAGTTCAACTTCTCTCGTGTCCAAAGTTATGAAAATCGTTTCGCGACAATGAATTATGTTATTCCTTGTTTATCTTCTGTAAAAGCAACATGTATGTTCATTGCAAGTGAAATTTGTTGATTTTCAAATAATTTGTATTTTTTTTTTTTTTTTCATTTGATTGCAGCCGACATATTTGACGAGACGGAGGCTGTCCTGAAAAAGATAAGCTCGAGTTTGAAAGCCAAATGCCTGGGCGGTGGCAGAATCAAGCACGACGCGGCCGACAAAAAGCTCCACGTGTACGGATATTCTCAGGTAAAAAAAAAAAAAAAGTTGGTTTGTCGTTGAACTGGACTGCATGTGTACCTATGTGTGGTTACTTCATTTTTCTGGCCCATCCGTGCACCGGCTCTCACGAAATAAAAACCTGGAGCTCTTTCGATTTCGAGTAAATATTGAGTACACGGATTGCACCTTGCCGATGCAATGCATTATTGTTGAGCTCAAATGGATGGCGACTGCGCGGGTTAAAGATTTAGAACCGGCCTTGATGTACACGAGACGACTGGACTACAGTACCCTACATGTACGCGGGTCCCAGTGTATCTTACATTATTTAGTACTTTCTCGCCTGGGGATTTTTGCTTTTACTGTTGCAGATTTTCGATCGGCGCAAATGTTGCATGGGATTAGGCTTGAATTTTTTGGATAACCTTGCCATGACATTTTCAGATTTTGGTTTGAAGAGGTCCTATAAAAAGGACAAAAGTTTTTACTTTTACTACTAAGTTCAGAAGAAAATAAAAGTTTTTCTTTTAGCTATAAATTTTTAATATGACGTTTTGCACGAGAAGGTACATTTTAATTTTGTTTTGCTGTACATTTTTTTGTCGTGAACTTTTTTTCTATAGTAAGTCAGACTAAAAAAGAGATATTTTGTCTAGCCGAAATATTAAACGAAAATGGTCGTGCCTTACACGCAAAAGCATCGCCTCCAGTCTATTTGTTCAAACTTGTTTAGGGACAATTTTGAAAAATAAGTAAGTAGATCCCAGAGGCCAGATAACTCGGACGTAGTATGTTATTGTCCCTTAATAACAAAGTTGGGATGGTACAAGGTACTATCGTTCGAGCGAAGGTAACGGTTATCGCAGAGAAATGCGCGTATACGAGAGAAAGATCCGGTGTACAGATACAGATCTATGTAGGTGGAATTTAATCGTTCAGTGCCACGAGGCATTTAATCCTGCTTTGAATTTCTAAACTCGAGGGGGAAAGGCCTCTGACTTGCGCATAGCCAGAGCTCAGAGGGTCGCAAACTCGCTTTGAAGCTTTTCTTTTCTTTTCTTTTTGGTTTTNTTTTTTTCATGTAATAATCGATGGAAGCCTCCAAATTCGTGGAAATAAATATCATGACTTGCGTTTTCAATTTGAAAATACGAATCATCATATTTAATACAGAGACAATTTGTGTGTAACAAAATAAGGTAAAATGGGGTATAGTGGGACAACGCATAAATTGAAGGGTATAGTGGGACAGGAGGAGAAAATCATGACTGGTAAATTCATTTGTCAAAAAATATCCTTAAAAAAATTTCCTAATATTCCTTTATCTTTTAGCTAGATAAGACTCCCAAAATTGATTGTGGTAAACGTTCAAGGGAGAAAGAAAAAAATATTTTACCAAGCTGTCCAAGTACTCGTTTGATGCATACGTCTTAAACGAGGAATTTCGCCCATTTTAGATGTGACACTAAAGTTGACTATCAAGATGATATACCGAAAATAAAACTTTTTTCGTACATTCAAACTATTTATACGTAATAATATGACACTAAAGAACAAGTTTTATTAATTAGATCTTTAAAATAATTACTTCTTCATAAAATATAACCTGTCCTAGTATACCCTTATTTTCTGCAAACACCATGCAGAAGTGGGACGAGGCTTATCATTGCTGTCCCGCTACTGCATACTTTTTTTTAAAAACTAAGTAGTAGTGGGACAAGTACTTGACAAGAACAAATTCTATTTTTAACGACTATGTCCCACTACTTACTGCAGATTTCACGACTTATTTGAAAAATTATTTACGGAAACGAATAATGATAAACACAGTCAATAAATATTGTTTCCTTAAGTAAAGACCTATATTTTCAATTTAAAAAAAAATTTAGGTGAATTAGCATTGGTGGAACTTCAAAAATGAGAAATAAATATTTTTTGCTTAAAAAAGTATCCCACTATACCCCATTTTACCTTATCGTTATTTTCAAAGCTCACGATGATCGCGTAGCAGTTGGGGAAAAGCTGTGGAGTCATCTTCCAAATCTCCCTCATCGCAACTCGGGATTTTATTGTATGTCGAGGGTTACAATCTCCCAACCCCTCTTGCCTTGCATCGAACGGCTCTCCGTTGTACCGTATATAAAATGTGTGTGTTCTTTTCTGCCTTTCACTCCGTTACTTCATGAATTTTCAAGCATAGTTGCGTTGCTTGCAAATTTTGTCTGCACAAAGACATTCCATGTTATATTTTTTGTGCATTTTTTTTTTTATTTCAGGGATACGGTAAAGCCGATCATGACATCAGTGTGAGCATTTTGAAGACAAAGTACTCGGATTACGATATCACGTGGTCCGATGAGGGATACTGAGCTTTTTTATGAATAATTCAAGATTCGATTAACTATGATTACTTGGTATGCTATATTTTACTGCTGTGCGAAAAATAATTGAAATAATTGTGTAATTTTTAATAAAGTTGTACAAAGTATTTTAAAAAATTTCACGGTGTCAGTACAAAATTTCCATTACCTTAAAAAATATTTAGGAGCATTTTGAAAGACTTTTTACAATACGACTGACCATCAAATTATTGTATCGTTGATACGCGACCCATTGTGTATATAAGTAACGAGCGCAAAACTTTTTTACCTTAATCTATTTATCCTCTGTAGGTAAGCGAAAAATTAAGATTTACCCATCGTTGGTAAGAAATGGGATGTACTTATCATGAGCCGGTTACATCTCTAGGTTCCTACGTTATCGCTTGGCACAGTGTACCGACGTACCGACCATAATTTTTGTAGTAATAAAAGGACTATCCGCACGATGGCACTTGATGTACTTTAAGCACATAACATACAAGTTTAATGTGATTAAAGCGGTTTGCGAATTCATTTATAAATCTCTCTCGGTCTAAAATAAACGGCGCACGTTTTCCTCGGGACCCTACACGTTACGTCCCCAAGTGATGCGCGCGTAGAAAAAGACATTTAATACCTCAAACGAGATAAATAAATAAAATAAGATGAATATCTAACCTTACACATAAGATTACTAGTACTATATATAGATTTAACAGTTCTGTAAGACTGTAATGTGATTTATGTGATATAAAAATACGAAGTCAATTATATAGAAACTATAATTATGTAAAAATTCATTGTAATTTTGCCGTATGGCCATGTACATTTAATTGTGGAGCCAATAAATTATCTTATTTTCAACTAAAAAAAATAATATACAAGTATAATTTTTTATGTAAGTTCTTAACCGAACACGTAATTACAAATGTAATTAATATCGATGCAAACCTTCCATTTAAATTGAAATGGCTATGTAACTTAAGTTAAAGCCAACAAAAATCATTCAATTCAATTCAATATACAAGTAATTATAATAATACTTATTTGATTAGTTTTCTATGAGTACACATATAAATGATGGGTCGATCGAACGATGGGAAGTTGACGAGCCAAAACAATCGAACAGTAATCAAAACGGTTGACCGGCAACGGGCGCAGCTTGTCAGAACAGTTTGGCAAACATGGACGAGCGGTCGACGGGCCGATGAAAAAATTCAAAGTAACAAGATAAATTAACACCGAGTACGCGATCATGTTCACCCGAGCCGCAAAATTCATGGTCAAACGACTCAATCAACACAGCTACCACGCCAGCGGGGGAAATTTCAAGGTACGTCCACTTATAACCACAAACTGCCAAAGAAATAGCCTGTTGAATTACCCGTTTGCAAAGTACCAACGTTAAACCTTTATTTTGTTCGCTTGATCGACACAACCCTTTTTTTCCTTTTTTTTTTTTAATCCACTCCACGCGTACGAGTGCAAAGTAACCCAATAACCCTTTGTTTATCCAGTCGGTGGTCGGGTCAACGCAAGTGGGCCACTCGGCGGCCACGTTTATGACGGATTATGCATCGACGCGGGACGTTGGGCCGTTGAAACACCTCAAGCTCAACCACGTGAGTCTCAGTGATAATCAATAAAAAGCATCCCATCGAAACTCACGCAAAACCACCTCGCACACAGATAACACCAGCCTCGCCCGAGAAGAGCCTCCTGCAATCCGCCGAGGCCGCGAGCGGAGAAAATGCCGTGCAGGTAAGCGCAACGCTTCATTTTTTCCCTCCAAGCACCTGTACCTACAATTGTTGGGGATCGTTGTTTCGCGTTCACACACACACACACGCATATTTCGGTGGACGCCGAGCAATGTCGAGGCCCCCCCCCGCAAGATTTTCGTCCAGCGCGGGAGGAGGTCCTGTAGCTTCACAGCAGCCTATCCGTCTGTCCGCAGGCGGCTGTCCCGTGGAAGCTCGCTTGGGGGCGCGCGCTCGTCGAGCTGGGGGCTCGAGCGATGGTTGGGCGGAGGTCGGATCTCGGCGCCGGGGGCTTGCTGCGAGCGAAAGAGGAGAGAACGGAGGAGATGAAGGCGAGGATCAAGGAGCTGTTGGAGAGCATCAACGAGAAGCTGGACCACTTGAGGAGGAAGTACGCGACGAGCGTACCGGAGGGGGTGGACGACAGGGAGCGGCTGATGGAGGAGCTGAAGGCGTTGAAGCAAAAGATCAAGGAGGAAGCGAGGAAGAAGCTGCTACAGGACCTCAAGAGGAGGAGGGACGACTGCGATAGGAGGGAGAAAGGAGCGGAGGGAGAAGTTACGGGGGGCGGGGACGGCCAAGGGAAGAAGCAGATGATGGGGCCGAAGATCGAGAAAGTGGCGAGAGGCGCGGGGTCTGATAATAAGGACGGGAAATTGTGAACGCGTCCACCGAAATAATTTATTAATGTTAGACAGAGTTGTTTTTTTTTTTTTTACTCGTAGATTGGTTGCTTGGAGTACAATTGTCCCGCAAGTTTTCATACAAGGCTTTTCTTTTTTTTCTTTGTTTTCCAGAAAACTGGAGAAAACCTGCTGATCGTTGATCCCGTTGGCTTTCAAGTAAGTTTTTCCATGCTTCCTTAACTTTGGTCGAACGACAACGCCGTGGCTCCACCTCCCTTCTGCCTCTATTCAGCGATAGCTAAACGATTTTATTTAATGCGCTTCCATTGTGCGAAATGCACGCACACACGTAGGCCGTGAATTTTCTACGCATAGACGCGTTGGACGAAAATCGCGGTCGAGGGGGAAAACAATTATGTGTTCTCGAAGGTTCTTGTGTTCGCCGGTTAGCCGAGCGGCGAGTTTTCCATGGTGACGAGGACGAGATCCCCTGGACCTCCAAAGTAAGCGCAGTGAATGGGCGAAAGGTGAGGTGGACCAAAAAAAGCGGCACTAAGAAACAGCGAAAAAAATAAACCTCCGTTTGTTCCCTTCAAGACTCCTCTGAAAGTCGAGGCTGAATCGGATCGAGATCGGCAAGGGCATCCTTCCAAAGTGCCGCGTCGACCCCGACCGCCACTCAACCACCTGCCCAAGCCTAAACCCCAGCGCAAGCTCATCTGCGTCAAGTGTCCGATAAAAAAGCCTTGAAACCGAGAATTCTTGTTAAGTTTAGGTATAGGGTTATAGATGCAGTACACGTTATTTGCTACAGAGGCCGGAAGGGAGGTAGGATGGACCCACGCGGTTCCTAGATTCATCGAGTGGATGTTGACAAGAACATGCGTTTGATGGATGAATCTCATTGTATCCGAAATTCATTCAATGAATCTAAGATCCAAAGGAGAACAAATTTTGTTTCAATGCCACGGGCTTAGTACTTTCATCTTGTATCCCTTCTATGGTAGAAACGTCACAATTTCCGTCCCGAAATTCACGTGATTGCTAAGCGCCAGTTGAGCACGATATCTCGGCCTGGCTCTTTGACACTAGAGTGCAAACGTTTCGGGAATTCCGCGAGATCGTACAGCCAGAAATCCAGTAAGAAGGGCGACTGTGGTGCTCCAAAAAATTCATGCTCCAAGGACAAAGTCGTTTCACCCTGCAAGCAGCGCTCGTCCTGCGGATCGGCCCAAAAAACGTGCGGCAATCCGTGCAAGCCTACGTGTCCACCGCCTCCAAAGTGCCCACCCGCGCCTTGTCCACCTCCGTGCCCGCCTCCGTGTCCGCCTCCGTGTCCACCGCCGCCCCCGAGGTGCCCACCTCCGTGTCCACCACCTCCCCCGAAGTGTCCGCCTCCGTGTCCACCACCGCCCCCGAAGTGTCCACCTCCGTGTCCATCGCCGCATCCGTCGAAAACTCCACCTTGCCCTTCGAAATGTCCACCACCGTGTCCACCACCGTGTCCACCACCGTGTCCACCACCGTGTCCGCCGCCGTGTCCGCCATGCAAGCCAAAGTGTCCGCCTCCTCCGCCGTCTAGCCCATGCAACAAGCCTTGCCCGAAACCCTGCAAAGCTCCAAAGTGCCCGCCCAGTTGTCCTCTGGACCCGCCAGCGTCTCCACCGAAGCGCTCGTGCCCGGTGCCGGAACCACCACCCTGCTGCCCGAAGCCAAAGTCGACCGGCTGCTGTCCTCCGCCTCCCTGCCCGGAGCCGCCACCCCCGATGCCCGAGTGCATACCACCGCCCAAGGTTTATTTATCAATTTACCTTTATCCTTTCCACGTGTAAATAGTCCCTGGTAAACATGACAAGTTCGTTCCTCTCGATACCATCCCCAGCCAAGGGACCCGTGCTGCCCCAAAAAGCCCCCGTCCTGTGGCTCGGACAAAGGCCCATCCGACAAAGGCAGCTCGCCACCCAAGGGCAAGGGCCCCTCCCCTCCGGGGCCGCAGAAAAAGAAAAAGGGCAAGAGCCTGTGGCAGAAGCTCACGAGGCAGATGTCGACTCGCGCTGGGTATCCCCGGTTCACGGTGCCTGGCCGGAGATTCTGGAATACGGCCCCCAAACCCAAGGAGGCTGGGGACAAGCAAAAAGGATGCAAAACCGTCAAGGAGATATGCTCGCGTAAGAGTGACGTTTTTCTTTTTTTCGTACGCGTCGAGTAAATCATTAGATGTGGGGAGGAAGAAAAAAAAAAGATATCTCAGTCCACTACATTTTTTACACATATACATACGAATCCCACAAAAACAAAGGTTTACATGAAAATAAAAAACTTTATCCAAACGCGCGCATAATAGCGAGGGCCAAAATCTCTTCTCAGCATGCGAGGAGAAACCAACCTGCAACGCGTCCTGCGAGCCACCCAAGATCCCGTGCTCCCAGCGACTAGAGAGCGTTAAGCCACAGGCAAAGGAGGATCGGACCCAAGTTGCTACCAACTGCCTGTCCTGCAGCTTGCCGGCAAAGTGCCCACCGACCGTGAAGCCCCCCGCGCAAGAGAAGCACGAGTACTTGCCAGTCCTGTGCCCCGAGTCCTCGCCTTGCCCCTCGTACAAGGTCAAGGTAACCATATACACCTACGTCGATTGGGGAATGTTTATTTCCTAGCCATATTTACTCGTGTAGGTGGACGCCGAGCCCCAGGTGGCCCAGTGCCCGCCACCGGTGCCGCTCCCGAAGCCGCCGGGTGGGCCCGTCGTGCTGTGCCCGTGCGCGCCGCCCCCGACCCTACCCCCAGGACCGTGCCCCTGTCCCGCCAGCTACACCGAAATCAAGCTCCTCGTCCCGATGGGCCAGAGCCCCTGCGCCAGGAAGCCGAGGTACGACACCACGTGCGAGAGGAGATCATACGCGTGTCCGCTCGCCAACCGAAAGTGCGGTGAAAAAAATACAGCCCCAGGCAAGAGATGACGCGTTTGGGGAGCCCGGCGGAGGACGATGTTTCGCACGAGAGAGGAAATATTTATTTGATCTTTAGATTAAAAAAAAAAACCAAAAAAAAAAGCCAAAAAAACCACAATTAAAAATTCAAGTGTTCATGACGCCTCAAGTTGACATAAGTTTCGAATAAGTATTCGTGAAAATCATCCCCCCTGAAGGAAAAGCATAAAGTACAACTGTAACGGAGTACGAATTTGTCTCTTTCGCGCAAATAATCCGTCAAAATCGGCTCGGGTGTGACGCCGTCCTCGGTGTACAAGAAGTCTGTATATTTTTTGTCATCATGGAAAAAAAACAAAAACATTTTGTCGCCTGTACGTGTACAACGTCAATAAAGATATATACCCTCTGACATCCCTGACTTTTGCTCGATTAACGAATTCAATGGGATTTTTTCCTAATTCCAATCGGCGAATGCTGTACGTATATATATACGTTCCTATGTACCCTCGGGGGCTCCGATCGTGCACCGCAGATTTATGCTCCTCCGTGGACTGGGATACCAGACAACCTACGTGTATACATAACCAGCGGAACCGGAAGAAACGCCGGGGCGTATACCGTCATCGCCGCACGATCGTGTCTTTCGCTCGCCCATTCGATGGGCATAGACTTGGCGGATCTTACTTTTTTTACCGAAAAGTATACAAATAATGATAATAAAAAAAAAAAAACGATAAACGCCGGGCATCGATAAATGTCTGAATTGATCAGATTTCCGAGCTGTGCCCTTTGCCGGGGTATTTCTGACAAAGTAACGAAAACTTTCATCGGAATCGCTTCATCCCCGAGGAACATCGAAAATATTACCTAGTGATGTTTTTTTCCGAAACTCTCACGCGCAGCGTCACCTACCAAATGATCCCAGAGCGCAGGTATAGCGTTTCCGGGGCAATAAGTGGCATATCGGGTAGACGGAGAGAGGGTAGGTATATATGAAAGCGCGTTCGCCACTTCGCGCACCAACTCTCGATCGAGACGAGCGCAGAGGAGTGACTCGATGCGGGGGCGGGGGGATACACACGAGGAATGGATAAACTTTGAAGCGACTGTGTCTCCGCGGAGCGCGAGGGGGGCAGGGAACGCCGATCGAGGGAGAGAGAGAGAGAGAGAGAGAACTGATGCATAATTCAGGAATCGTCACCCGCGAGGATATTGCCAATTTGGCGTCGATGAAAATACGATCGGATTTGTCGGACAGCCTGGGAATATATACGGCCCCTTCCCTACACCGTCCTGTGAACGCGCGCTTAATGAACTTAACACTTTGTCTTTTTCCGTGTGTATATATACACGTAGGTATATACCTATCCCTCGCGTTGGCACGGGTTTATGACTATTTTTTTTTCTTTTTCTTTTTTTTTTTTAATAAATGTATCTTTACTGCGGTCGTGACGTATTTGCAGATATGTGATGAAAAGAAAGCTATTGGGTTTTTTTTTTTTTTTTTTTTTTTTTTTTTTTTTTTTTTTTTTTTTTTATCGATTATAATCTTACTTGTTTCGTAAAGAGTTGTATGGTGCAACAATATAATCGCGGTGGTAGTGAAGATAATCCCAGCTCTTTTCGTCCAACTATACATCGTTAGGAAAAAGGTACAAAGGATTTGTCACACCCAAGGTGAGCTTCCATCAAACAAGCGCGTCTCAATCAAAGTTACCGTTACCCCATACACATCAGCTCCGAGAGATGTGCTTACCTAGATATGGCTGTAAAAATCGAAATCCCCCGTTAAGTCGACGTTAGCCACGTAATCCTTTTTTCTTTCTACCCACGCGCGCATCAGAGACTGAAATTAGAAGCGTCACCCGCTCCCCCCCCCCTTAAAATAACCACAAACAAAAAAAAAAAAAAAAGAATCTCCATTCCTTCCGTTTCCCCCCCGTACAACTAGCAAATTCTGATTGATGAAAAATCATCGGACGCCCCTTCGATTCCTCTCTGGCGATTTTCCACCGAGAGAAACCCGCGCCGCTCATGAAATATTAATAGCCACCCCCGCCCCTCCTTTCTACCCATCTCTACTCTTTGGTGGCGTCAAAAGAATAAATTGGAATCGATTCAATTTGTCGACCGCCTACCCCCCCCCCTCCTCCTATGTACGTTGTAATTGTACGCTCGCAGTTGCCATCAATTATTCCCTCGCGCAAAAACTCTACACGGAACGATGATAATGGCCTTCGATGCGAACGCGAAATAATACGAGTGTTTATCGGCACACTCGAAGGGATCTCGAAGAGTCACGCGCGATGATTCCCGGGTTTTCGTGTTAGGGGTCGCTCGTTATCATCATCCATGGACTAATATTTTCCCGCAATGAATAATACTGTACTGTATGCAAATTGCATGACGTATTATTTATGTGTGGCTTATCATCGGTAAAGGACAGTCCAATGCGAGGAGCATTGAAATATGTATATAATATGGGTATACGTGCAGAAGAGGGCAAAAGCAGAGAAAACCATCGCCAGACGAGGCTACGCCTCCCGATGAGATTCGGGACGCAGCGGCAATATTGTGAGGCGGAGGAGTGTACCAAAAAAGCCAAAGGAGTAGCAGTTGTAGTAGAAGAAAAGAGACACCCACCTCTGCCACCGAGAAAAGTTTGTCGCTAGGCCGGATGTCCCGGGGAAGTTTTACCGTATTTGCCCATCCGGGGCGATAAATCTCGACTTGGCTTTTCCCGCCTTTTGGCGAACTGCACCGCGTCCAGCCAAAAAGCCTCGGCGAATAAATTTCCTAATCTCCGCCGCTTACATAAATATGTATGTGCCGCGTCTACACCCCCCCCCTCCCCCCCGACGGCCTGTCGTCGATTGTTGCTCGACATTTTATTGGCCATCCCTGTACCATGTGGTTGTTTCGTTTTAGTGGGATTTTGTAAAATTGAGAAAAGAAAACAAACAGCCTAGCCAACAACGAGTCACTTTTGCTTTTTCTTCGTGAGAAACTTTTACGGGGTCACCAATACATATATATTTAAATACCCTTAAAGTTTCTCACGAAGAAAAAAAGCAAAAGTGACTCGGTAAATGCAGCATGTGCCTAAAAGGCACGAAAACGCGTCGTCCACACGTAGATATACCAAAGTGTGTATATATTGCCCCCGCGAGGCGCCGTTCACGGCTTTCGAGTGCCGGAGGGTCTCTTAATTAAAAGAGGCCCTAGACAACCCTCTTTGGCTCGGCCAAGCCGAAGATTTTCTCCCGCTGTGTGTGTGCGCGGTATAGGCGGAGGCCCCTCGATTAGACACGCGGTTTCGACTTCTTAATTGCCGGGGAGTCCGCAAAGTCAAGTCGAGCTCCCCTCGCTGCGAATACGCAATCCGAGTCCCACACAAGCAAGGCTGCTTGAGATTTCGTTCCCACCCTTTGGGCTCGACGACGCTAAGCGAGCAGTGGTGACTGATGTGCTGCTTGATTGTACATACATATACACGTATTTCAATTGCCGTGGACTAAACAAAACAGAGGGTTTCCGTTTCTCTGTACTTTATGAGGAATTTTCATGGTCATCGGTTCACTTGATCATCAAGTTATTTCCTGTGAAAACCACCATGCATATAGGTACTGATTAATCAACTCTGGCATAATTTATACTAATTTTGTTTGCCGTAAAGTCGCGAAACCAAATGTACGAGATCAGTTAATTGTTTCGCGGTGAGACATTTATTGGGTCCAAAGTTGTACGCAGAAGGAGTTTCTCACGTGAGGCTCAGCCCTTCCCCTTCAAAATCAAGTGTACATAAAGTGAGAGAAAAAGAGCACTCAAACGCAGGACACTCGATACGTGGTTCTAAATCAAATCGACTCGAGAGCCTTTCATCGAGTGCCTCGCATGCCCGCAAAGTTATAAGAGGCAAGTGCTGTATGTATATATACGATGTTTCATACGTATTGGAGCAGACGGTGAGCCCAAGCCGGCCCACAACTAGATTAATATACCAACATTTACAAGCGACTTGGCCGATTATTTTCGACTGCCGCTCTATAAACCCCCTCGGGAACGCGCTACACCTATATAATATACACTCTCGACTTCCTCTCAAGAGCACATGCTATACGGTGTATCGGCCGTAGTATACCAAGCGCGCGCGCGAAAGATCGCAGTGTGCATTACTCGTGTGTATATATATATATATATGTATGTATATGTATATTGTATACAAGTAGGTACGTAGTGGCCCTCGAAAAAGGGCTGCGGGATACACCACGCGCAGCAACGAGAGATCTCTCGAGGACCGCTCTGTGTGCGAATCAAAACCACGGGCGGTCCCCCTTCACCCGATTTATACATACGTATATTCATATCGCTCGTCTCTCTCTCTCTCTGTCTTTTATAGAATTACGTGTATACATGTACACACGGGTCCGTGGGCGCGCGAGTGTGTGGTGTGCCCTTTGGCTGTTACTTGCTCTTTGGGGGTGGGAACGCCCGGGGAAACGACACACATATATATTATATACATGTAACTCCGTAATCCGTAACTAATGCCTCTCTCCCCCCTGACCCTGTAAGTATGTGCCATTTCCATGGCATCCCTCGTCCACGTGACGACTTTTATGACGAATTACCGTCCCATTCTGTCGCCCTAATCGTCTTTAATTTATTGCTCCGGGTTTTTCCATCCGATCCGCTTGCCCGTCTAATCTCGTATACACGAGAAATCTTTTAGCACGGCTAATGTCCCCGTTATTGTTTTATATACGTTTATTTATACAACTAGGACCCTTTGGGGGCCATTTCACTCCTCGGATCAATCATAAAACTGATATATAATTATAATTATCGTACAACTGTATGTAATATATAACATTAACGACATGAAAAACCTCGATGATTATCGTGGCCCGCGTATATATACATGCTTGTAAATGCTCGCCACGCAAGAATTTTATATTTTCGCAACGTCATGGGTTTACACAAAATCGTATACGTCATTACGTGTATATATATATATATATATATATATATATCCTGCAACCAGCGCTCGTCCTGCGGATCGGCCCAAAAAACGTGCGGCAATCCGTGCAAGCCTACGTGTCCACCGCCTCCAAAGTGCCCACCCGCGCCTTGTCCACCTCCGTGCCCGCCTCCGTGTCCGCCTCCGTGTCCACCGCCGCCCCCGAGGTGCCCACCTCCGTGTCCACCACCTCCCCCGAAGTGTCCGCCTCCGTGTCCACCACCGCCCCCGAAGTGTCCACCTCCGTGTCCATCGCCGCATCCGTCGAAAACTCCACCTTGCCCTTCGAAATGTCCACCACCGTGTCCACCACCGTGTCCACCACCGTGTCCACCACCGTGTCCGCCGCCGTGTCCGCCATGCAAGCCAAAGTGTCCGCCTCCTCCGCCGTCTAGCCCATGCAACAAGCCTTGCCCGAAACCCTGCAAAGCTCCAAAGTGCCCGCCCAGTTGTCCTCTGGACCCGCCAGCGTCTCCACCGAAGCGCTCGTGCCCGGTGCCGGAACCACCACCCTGCTGCCCGAAGCCAAAGTCGACCGGCTGCTGTCCTCCGCCTCCCTGCCCGGAGCCGCCACCCCCGATGCCCGAGTGCATACCACCGCCCAAGGTTTATTTATCAATTTACCTTTATCCTTTCCACGTGTAAATAGTCCCTGGTAAACATGACAAGTTCGTTCCTCTCGATACCATCCCCNAAAAAAAAAAAAAAAAAAGTCAGCCTCGGAATCAGCCATAAATAACCCCGCGCAGCGCCGCAATTGAAACGCCGCGAGTGCAATCGTTATCTCTCCCCGACCCCGCCGAGCGACGTCCGCGAGCATTTCACGATAATAAACTCAGCCGCGCCGAAGAAATCGTACGCGCGAGAGGGTCGCGGGAAATTCGTGGTTTAGGGGTTATTGGGGGGAGGAATTTATCGAGCGCTCGATTGAGAGGCAAAAGTGCGGTCGCGTGATTCGAGCTTCGACCACGAAACACACCTGTGTTTGCACGCGTGCTCTCGCTTTTCAGCTTTTGACTTTTCTCGCGCCTAATGACCGTTAACCTCGATGGAGGTGGGGGGGGGGAAGGGGAGGAACTCGTATATATACAGAGTGGTAATTACGTGTACCTGTTAATGACAAAACAAACTTTTGTGATAAAAGAATAACGCAACGTGTAATGAGTCCCTTTTGCTGTTGTGCTGGTGCGGATGAAATATTGTTGAGCCAGAAGGCGGAGGAGGGGGAAAAAAAAAAGTCAAAGGGGTTGACATTTCCCCATGGATAATGGCACTTTGATTAGCTCGTGCGTCAAGTGGTTGTTGGAAAAAGTGTGTGGCTACTTATGTACGCTTCGTTCCTTCATTCCAGTGTCATTTTCTTCTAAAAGTAATATATCGTATACGATCAAAAAAAAAAAAAAAAAAAAAAAAATGATAACGACGACGTAATGATACGTTTATGTATTTTTATTGTCATAGCATGTAAGAATCGTCAGCCTTTTGACAATAATATTTACCGATACTGTATGAAACCCAGGACTTGTAACTTATACAATATCTGACTTTTTTTCTTACCATATGCCCCGTACGCGTCCTGTGGGCAGACATTATACATTTTAAATGACTTGGCCTAATTAACTTCGACATTTCCCTCTTTCCGTAACGAATCACCCAAGTGATACCCTCGAATTCCATACTCTATACACAGGGAACAAAAAACATCCCATATTCTCCAATTTTCTTTCTTTCCACACTTTATTACCACCGGTCTCTCTCGGGCGCAGCTTCCTTTTTCCTTTCAGCGCGCCCCGAAAAAAAAAAAGAACAAAAAATAAGGCACAGACCGCACAGTAATGACACGAGTCGAGGAAATAACAATCGTCGCGCCCACCCGCTGCTCCCGCAAGCATTTCCCTCGATTTCCCGCGTGCGGAATCCGATGATGAAGACGCACCTATAACAAACCAGCCGCAGAGGGTGTAGGAATAGACGAACAAAACAGTGGAGGAAGAAAGAGCCGAAACAATCGAGGAATACGCACTTAACTTTTGTGTATATGTATGGCCCTCCGCGAGAGCGCTCTTGTAAGCTTGTAGGAAAAAAAAGTCTCTTTTTTCTCTTAGCCGATCCCGAAAATTGTTATTTTTACCACTGCTCGCTCGTCCTCCTACGCATATAAAATCCTCGAAAATCATTCATATGTGAAAAAATCCAGCGGCCGAGAAAAGCTCACATTCAAAAATCGCCCCCCCCCCCAGATCGTAATAAGCGCCTTAGCCGAAAAAATTTTCCAATAGAAGTCGCGTATACAAGGAGAGAAAGATCCCAAAGCAGCAGTACAGCCGCGTCATTAATCACGACCCGAGCGTGTAACGCGCTTTTCAACACTGCGGCTCTGCAGTGGCTATACGTATATTTATACATCCCTGCGCACTCCATAAAAATCGGCATCCCCGACGACAATAGCCTCCCTCCCTTTCGACTCGTGTAGTCCATACTTACACACATACAATATAAGAGTTTCCGAAAAATATAAGCATGAGACACAATCGCCTCACATATTATACATCATGTATAATTTCTCAACCCTCCTCTCTCATACGCTACAAAAATAGTATGTGTATATAATATGCGTACGTTCAAAGAGAAAATCCATTCGCACTTCCACTCATACATGTATATCCATGCACGCGGCGGCACGTGTCCACGCTTAAACACACTCTCATGATAATATACATTCTGAAAGTATATATATATATATACCTCTCACCGTTGAAATACAAGCTGCGCGCCTACTTCATGTGGGTACTTGGTTGCTGATGTATCCTTGACTGGGGGAGCAATCGTGTGGGAGAGTCTGAGCCCAATCGATGCGCTAAGTGCGCCCATTGTCAACACTCGAGCCATGGGGCTTTTCACATTAAAGCACGCGGCTTATGGGGATTAATTTTGCTAGTGTACCGTTCGATTCGCGTGTTTACTTTTTTTCTTCTTCTTCTTCTTTGATCGACTTTGTACACGTTTCGGGTGATTTTACAACGTATTAGCCATACGTGATTGACACGCGAATTTATTTTTTCTACGGGAAACTGATTTTATCTCCGGATCGCTCGTTTGAAGTTCAATTGTTGCTTGTATCGGTCAGCACCACCGATTAATTCCGCGTGTTTACAAATAAATTCATATCAGATAGCCTCGCTGTGAGTACCCATTACGAGATAATAATGTTGTAAATTCTTGATTTTCTGTACGCGCAGTTCAACTATTCGATCTCGATAACTGGTCATGAGTATTGTATACTTGTGAAAGTCGGGTTCTTTGGGATCGAGTCGAGCACCAGTTCTGCGAATCGTTTATCGTTCCATTTTTAATATTTTAAATTTGACGGAAAGACCAAGCCGGCGAATGTCGACACATTTGTAATCACACAACGCCACCTGTGCATCGATCATCAATAAACCGCTCGAGAGCCCCTTCGCACCTCGAGACGAAAGTAAAAAACAAAAAATGTATAGTCTCGTAATTTGCGCCGAATAGAGAAAAAAAAAAAAAAAAAGTCAGCCTCGGAATCAGCCATAAATAACCCCGCGCAGCGCCGCAATTGAAACGCCGCGAGTGCAATCGTTATCTCTCCCCGTCCCCGCCGAGCGACGTCCGCGAGCATTTCTCGATAATAAACTCAGCCGCGCCGAAGAAATCAATCACTCCGCGTCCTTATCTCAAGCGCGAACGCGGGAGCTCCCTCTTACACGCATTCGTCATTAATCTTGCCGATTACACCCCTCACTCCCTCCTCCTCTCCGCACTGTATACACACGTGGCTGCTCTTCGGTAGCTGCCGGATCGGGACTCCTTGACAGCAATCGCCTTCTTTCGCATTACGTATATACATTATTATTATACTTGCGAGCAAATTCTCTGGGCACATAATAATAATAATAATAATAGTAATAGTAATGCACGCGTGCGAGTGTCCATTATCTATTTGGTCCTCGCATAAATTTTGCGCTCTCGGGCGCGTAAGTGCGATTTCGCGGATACTGTACTCAATGAATTGAAATCGTGCGAGAGACGCGATGGACGTTGTCGTGGACGGGTTTGCTCCTTGGCTACGTTATCCTTTGCAAATCTCATGTACTTGATTTTCCGAGCAGTGCACGACAGGAAGGAAAAGAGGATCCCGAACGTCGATTCGGGGCTTTCCATAGTCATCGAAATCGCTGTGATGTTGCATGGGAAAAAAAAAAAAAACAGATAGGGCGAATGGATACCGATCTCGAGGGTATACACCTATATGTTATTCCGATATCGTCACTTTTATTACTTTCGTATATAGGTACCTGTGTGCCCACACACATATTATGCACGTGTGTATCAGTGGCAAGTGACCAGTTCGATTTGAATGAATTTGGTTGATAAATCACAGAACTTTTCACGAAATCGGTAGAATATCGGTTGGTGGCTCCCAACGGAGGGAGTGAAAATCTGTAATGACTTGATTTCCATGTAAATCGTGAACCGCTGGAGTATATAGCTGTGAAAAAAAAAAAAAGAAATGACGCGCGCTTTGAGTGTAAGTATACTGTGGGCGCGAATCTGCATGTCGGCGCGTATATATTTGTACCTTTTTCGCCGAGTCCCGGGAGTATAAGGTCCGAGCTTTAAAAGAAACGCGTCGAATGGAAAATGCATGGGATCGGACGTGCGGCACTTCGAAGCTTTTTCACCACAAAGCGCTCCGGGGAGATCCTTATATATCCTGCACGTAGCATAACTTGGTCAGTCATGATATTCATGGCTTGAGACTTGCGTGGCCGTTATACACACACTACGTACTACATACTTTTCAGGGAGAAAGATATTCGATCCGAGATTTGAATATACTTACTCGTATAATCAAGTATTTCGTACGTTTCGTACGCTTTCTTTTTCTTCTTTATGGAAAAAAAGAAAAAAGTGGAAAGATGCACGTGCTGTAGTCGATACGTTTGCTGCTGGGGTACTCCAGATGGCAAAGGGAAAGATCGCGGGGCATCAGAGGCTCTCGATGAATAGATTTCCATAATCCGGACAGAGTATAGAGTCGCGCGTGTTTTTCTTTTCCTCCCTAGGGTAGCGCAAAAGTGTATCGGAATCAGGCGAAAGGCCATGACGTACTTACTCGTATTGAATTTATATATGTGGTGTAGGTTGAGGGCTGTAAACAAGAGTTCATTGCTCGATTTAACAAATAAACCCAAGATAGGTGATGTACTTTACATTCTTGCAATGACCAAATGAATCAAGTTCCACTTTGATTTGGCAATGAATATTGTACATCAAAAATCTAAAAAGTATATACTGTACGTATATACATGATACAAAAAAAGGGGAGCAATTTTATTTATATTTGAACTCTATGGTTTAATTATTTGTGGAGCAAAAAGAATATAACTGTACGTACGAATATGTTGAAACTCGGCTCGAAAGGACTATCATCGAGCAAAAGTGGTCATGGGAGAGTGGTAGCAATTTGCGGTTCCCATAGATAATTGTACAAATAGGCACCAAAGTAGTCTCGTGTCCCTCATTATTTGGCTACATTGTACGCCAACCATTCAATACCGCACTATTGACTATGATAATCATAACACGTAGGACCACCAAGACTGTCGTGTCATTGATATAGAATAACATTGTTACCAATATACCCTTATTGCACCGTATATTATATATATATATATTTATAGTTCTGCAATTGCCGGGTGGTCACCTCTATTGACTTTGGTCGTGCAATTTTGAGAAACTATTTTTTTTTTTTTTCTTCAAGGGTCCCGTTCACACTTTCGAAGCCCTTCTCTCGCGCGCGTCCATTGTATTTTAGTTTAAGAATAGAAAAAACATAGTTGCCCTCCATCGCCTATGCCATATACTTAGTTTAATATACGTGTCTAGCGAGACTTTGCATGCATAAATTATCGCTTTCGCCACGAACGAAATTGGAAGGGCCTCCACAATGGGTATAGTGTATTATACCATCCATATGTTGCGGGATTTCCCTCGGGGCGTACGTTTGTGGATAATAAGCGAACGGGCGCAACGACACGCGCGCGCGCTCGCATCTTATTGCAGGTGTGTCTTTCCACGCGCCTGCATGTATATATATATGTGTGTGTATGCTTGTCCGCTGACGACACGCGATTTTGCGATCTCGAAATGGATTTCGTTTCTTTTTCTTTCTTTTCTTTCCTCGATGAGTATGGTGTGTGTGTGTGTGTTGTACACGGTCATCGAAAAAAACCGCACGAGCAACGAAAGATCGCGACGAGAAGGGGAGACATATGCGAGGACACTCGACTTCTGAGAAAAACTGTAACTACGCGATTCTCGTTGTTTCTTTTTGCTTCTTTTTAGTTTTGTTATTTATGGACACAACAATTGCTTATTCATTATTATGCCGATGCGAAATTCGGTGCTGACCGCAAGGCTTGATTTCGATTCCAACTGTTGTGTCCTTCTGTCACAGCGTCGTAGCGTGCGAAAAGGACCCTTGACAACGCACTGAGAGAAAAAAATTATAAACATCATAGAGGAATTCCATCAAAAATTATCATTCTACACAATAAATCGGATGCAAGTTGGTGAAGAAGATTTTAAGGTTGATAATGATGATAATTTTTACTTTTAAAACAATAATCTTTACCATTAAAAATAAAAATTTTTTTCTTTTATAAATCCAGCGTGCGTCCGATTTACTGTGCGAAATGGTAATTTTTTATGGAATTTCTCTATAACAATTATTATTTTTTTCTCTCACTGCGAGTGTCTTCTACAATATGGAGTTGGGAGTATTTTGTTATCCTATGATAACATTTGAAATTTTTTTTTCTTTCATCCTGATTTAACATGATGATACCTGGTAATTGCAAATAAATCTTTTTTTTACCTTAATCGACAAAGAGCTTTTATATACGCAGTGACGATAAACGATTACAGTCGGCCTCAGCGTTTGATTCGAGAGATTCAATATCGAAGAGAAATATCTGTGACACAGGAAATTATGATTCATTGGACGATGATTATTTTGCATAGCTCTTGATCGATGTATAATAAATCTATGAAAGCCGTTTATTCTAGGATTAATTTGATCGAGATGCGAATTTTTTTTTTTCCTTAATGCTAATTAATTTTTGTTACCGTTACTAACATTATGTTTGGCAAAATATGACGCTACTCAAGATACTACCCAATGCCCTTCTTGAGCTACTACAGGGACACATCGTAATCTTGGGTTTTTTCTTTTTTATTCACGTCATACGTGATGTACTGTAGCGATAGCTTCGACCGATTGAGGAAATTTTCGATTGTATCGGACACTAGTACTTAAAATTTTCATCGTGATCGATGACTCTTTCGTACTCTACCTGCATATATCTACTAATAAAACGTAATTACGATTTTTCTTGAGCAGTGTTTATTTTTCTCAATCGGTGGTGTTAATATTGCTGGACATAATATAGTATAGGTGAATGTAGAAGTATAAAAGCAGGTGCTCCGAGGTACTATCTTCACCGAGTCGACAATGGCTTTCAAGCTCGCACTTGTTTCCTGCCTCTTGGCTCTTTGCAGCGCCAGTAAGTACAAACTTATTTTACAAGTCCCCAAATTCACTCTACAAAAATTTAAATCAAAACTTACTTTCATTGAATCAATAAGTTTCGAGTCCAACAGGGATTTGGAATGATGTGGTATCCATTTCATTAGACTCGTAAAATCTTTCTTGCTTCAATCAATCGTTGAAACGGTAGTTTTAAAAACCACACCGAGTAGACGGACCAAAGTAGCGATTGAACGGAAGCTTGTGAAAAAAAAAAAAAAAAAAAAAAAAATCCGTTCCAGAACCACATGGCAACCAGGGCGCGCTGCCAAGCGTCATCGACAGCTACCAGAACCCATGGGTCAACCTGGGCCTACCCCTGTCAAGCCGCATCGTCGGAGGCCAGGAAGCCGATCGCGGCGAATTCCCCCACCAGGTATCCCTGCAGTACGGCTATGGGATGAACTTGCGGCACTTGTGCGGCGGCAGCATAATCAGCCACACGTGGATTCTGACGGCCGCCCACTGCCCGAAAGCCGTGCCGGGTAGGACCCTCCACGTGAAAGCTGGTAAACACTCGATCCGGACGACCGAGAAAACGGAGCAGCTCGTCAAGGTGGCCCAGGTCTTCACCCACGAGAAGTACCCCAATGGTGTGGCGCCCTACGACATAGCCCTCCTGAAGCTCGAGCGGCCCCTGGTCTTTGGCGAGCTAGTCCAGCCGATCGGCTTGCCGGCCCCCGACAGCCAAGTCACCAGCGACGTAGTGCTCTCCGGCTGGGGCTCGGTCACGTCGAACGGCTTCGGCTCGCCCGAGTTCCTCCAAAAGGTGACGCTGCCCATCGTCGACAACGAGTCCTGCAAGAAGGCCATCGAAGCCCTTACCGGATCCGCTCCCGTTGCCCCGAGCAACGTGTGCACCGGTCCGCTCACCGGTGGCGTCTCGGCCTGCAGCGTGAGTTGACGGAACACATACGATGCGCCCGTTGGGAGCTGGTCTATATGCTCACCAGCTCTCAACGGATCGCGTGCCTTATTATTATGCACAAAACTTACTGATGTCTGTGTGTGTGCGTTCATCCAGGGTGACTCTGGCGGTCCGCTGATCAAGGTCCACGAGGACGGCAGAAAGGAGGTCGTGGGAATAGTCTCCTGGGGGTGAGTCGAACGATCGAGCACATTTTAGTTGTGTATATATACGCATGTGACTTTGGATTTTTACACGAGCGGAAACTTGACTGTTTTCAGTGTATTGCCGTGCGGAACTTTGGGGGCTCCGTCCGTCTACACGAGAGTATCCTCGTACATCGACTGGATCGCCAACATCATGAAGAACAATTAAATATAGTGGGAGGTGCTCTTGTGCAGTTACTCTTGCTAACGTCATCGGAAGTAAGATTGTTCAGCTTTTTCTGGCTAATAAAAAAAGACTTACTATTGTAACACATGTTTTGCTTTTTCCTCGAAGTATAAATTGTCGATTGATCCTCTTTTTCTCCTTTTCAAACATTCGGTTCTCCAAATGAGGAGCGTGGAGCGAAAATCAATGCTGACCACATATTAATACATACCAAAGTTTACAAAGCGCACCTCCCTCCTTTTTTTTTTTTTTTTATTGCGTAAGCAATCAACAGCGATGCAAGTCAGGCTGCCTAAACGCGTTTTTTTTAATGCGTATTACAAGGCTCCATCTGGACATGTTCATTTCATAAACAACTAATAAAGTACTTGCTTTCAGAATATAAAAGAAAATTCAAAAGCGTTTAGAATGGCGTGAACTAGGAGAACTCTGGGAAAAAAGTAGTTTTCAAAGTATAGTACGCGAACGCGTGGTATCTTAATTTTATTATTCGGTTTTAAAATATACCGGACGGTCGGTTGAGCGCGATTTACATATCAATAAAATCCCGAAAAGTGTGTATTTTAAACACCTCGGTAATTTTATGATGGCGCCTCTATATGTGTAAAAAAAAGAGAGAAAAAATAAAAGTAAACCCAGTTTCAAAGATAAAAAAAAAAAAAAAAAAGTTAACAGCCCCGAGCGCCTGCAAGCCGTTTTATCTTTTTTCCCCCAAAATCTGTGACATTTTTCACTCGCCTTTCCCGCCACACTAATCCTCTTTTATTTATGCCAGGTATATCCGAAAAAGAAGCAAAAAAAGTTGCTATATACGCAGACCGTGTCGCACTCCTTATCGAAGCGAAGGCGGCTGTGGAGGGAGGACCCCAAACACACTTTTAGTCTGATCTGCAAGGGCGTTTTAAAACAATGCTACATGATGCGTATAAGAACGATTCCGCTGAAACTCCACTTGCAAGTTGCTTGAAAAATTTTATTCGGGGCCCAACTTTGAAACAGGGATTTTTACCGTTTGCATATGGTCCAGTTCTCGAATATAAAGCATGTGTGAATCGTCATTTACTTAGCTCTTTCGAGTTTTTCAATGGAAACATTATTTTTTTCAAGTTTGTACCAAGTTGATTTGAATTTGCAACCTTCAAAAATCTGATGACCGTCAGAAAAACGCAAATTACTCGATTCGTTTTCTTTATAGTACAAGCCAAACGACGCAAAAAATGAATTTTTTTTCCTAGTTTAGCGTAACAAAAAAATAGGCTCAAAAATGTCGACTAATTCATCCACTGTTTATAAATTTCCTTAAATTTTTTACCGTGCAAGAATCTTCATTCGGAAAGTGCGCTTTAACCCAAAAAGCTTTTTCAATTTTCCAGGTCATCTAACTGGAGTTTTTTTTTTTGTGGAGTCGCTCATATACAGTCTTATCGTATCTTTGCCCTCACCTTCAACATTCCAAGTTGTCTTTCCGAGTATGTCTTCCAGCGTCCTTATCGGCATCCTTATCCATCAGGGCAGAGCCCTAATAACAGTTGTTTTTATAAACTTTTGAATTCAAATTTACATGTTTGCGTATAAATTAACTGAATCGGAATTTTTTAAATATTCTAGACACAAAAATACTCGAGGATAGTATATAAGTGTATATCATTCATAGTAAGTTTTTTTTTTTTTAAATGTATTTTAATAGTTAATAAATTACATCGCGTTTCATTTTGAATTTTGCATTTGCCAAAAAAATATAGTACCAGAAACTTGGGAATAAGAAAAACTAGACTTGCTGAAATAAAGAGTCATAACCCTTACACAAACAGTGTCCGTTAGCATCGTATCAATGTTTTGACTCGGCTAGTGAAGTACACAAATCAAGTTTATGTAACAATGACGTCGGTAAAGCTGAAATTTGCTTCACAGTGTGATAGTGTTGTGCGTTTATAAATGTTTTATCACTATCATACTGAAACTTTTGTTCTCCTTTCTTTTTGTTTGCAGTTAAACAAGGAAGACTTTGTAAAAAATATTACTGTAGAGCAGATTAATTCGGGCCAAAATTTTTTAAAACTTATTTAAGTCATAATCAACGCGAAAGAAAAGGTTTAAAAACAACTAAAAACACTGAATGAAACTATGTACATTTCAATCATACAAGTATGCAAAAACAGTATCCGAATTATTAAAGTTTTCTTTTGTTTTTTATTAAAACTCCAAATCCAACGTCCACTCGACAACTTTCCGGAAAAAATTATCAGCTTCGCCGCCGATTTTCATGGATCGATCGGTAGAATATGTGTTTAACCACGACAGACGGAAAAGTAGTATAGTCCACGACCAAGTGTGTTCGTGAAGTGTTTTCCTAATACAGCAAAGCAAGTTGATATGACTGAAATTATCAAAGTTTTAACTTTTATAATTACTAAATAATCTTTACAAGGTCAATTTTTTTTTTTTTCATTGTCGGGTAAAATAAAATTTTACTCCATTTGTAGCGAAAATATATCGATTTCCAATCAGTTATGGGATTAAAAATTATTAACGGTATAATGTGCTTGCTTGTAATGAGAAAGCGGAGACAAATCACACACTTTTCGCTCCAAGCACGAGACTCTGCATTTCGCGTTAAGCGCCAAAAATAAGAAAAAAAAAAAAAACCAAGCAAGTAGGTATACGACGATACTTGTGGGACTAAAAAAGGAAAAATACCTCAACCCTATCTCTTTACGGGACACAATTAGTATGGGCGCTTGGCTTATCTAGAATTTGTCCATCTCCTTTATTCCCCTTGTCTCCTCTCTCTTCTCGTCTCTTGATTCTCCGAGTCGTCCGGTTCACCCATGACTCTATTTAGGCTTATCGTCTCGCTTTTAAGAGGATAATCATGTCGAGCCTCGTCGTCTCCGTCGTTCTCTCGCGCCTTCCTTTACGACGTTTTAATCGCACGAAATTTGTTTAGCTCGAATAAACGGTTCCTCCCTCCCACCCTTCGCCTCACCCATACCCATTTTTTTTTCTCTCTTTCTCGAAATTCCGGATAATCGACTTTTTGTTTCCACTTTTTCTTCTCCTCTCGCGTGTCCAAAAGTAAGTTGTTTTCGAATTTCAGCTCCGTAAAACCATCACGACGCACGAATAAAATGCCGGTAGTACTCAGAAAATCGCTCGAGCTGAACGATGTATCGGCACTTGTGTCCGGGGTTAAAATGCCGCTTGCGCGTGCACGTATTTTTCGGCGGTAAGTCATACACGTTATACGTATACACCAAACCTTGTAACGACGGTAATATTATTATTATTATTATTATTATTATTATTATTATTATTATTATTATTATTATCATCATCATAAGAGGGGGAAAAAAAAGGAAAGAGCGCTTCCAGTGCGCGTTATTAAAATTTAACGAGAGGCATCGTGTAAGTGCATATTCTCGTATACACGTGTGTTTGTTAACACGTATAAATTTTCCATGTAAGCTCGAGCAGCGCCGTATACTTATGCTTGATAAAGAAAAAAAAGAAGAAGAAAAAAAAAAAGCGACGATAATACGAGCATTCCGTGTTGTCTTGGCCAAAGGTGGAGAGCCTTCGAGAGGGCCCGTGTCCGCCGATAAGCGCCGAGCATAGATCATCTCCCTCCCCTGGTCCCTCGGGCCTGTCGCACCCGTCCTCTGCACTACGTCTTCGACCCAACGCCACCAGGTACATACTTACCCACACGAGCTACAATAATAAAGACAAGTACACACACACACCCGACTATGACGCGTCCATTCTGCAGAGCTAATGATGGCACACTCGCGTGCGTTACGCGTTTCGTTACACCTTTTTAAAAAGAACTGAGCAACTGATTATCCGCGTAACGCGATTACTCATACGTAAGTGTACAAGTTTAGCTTGCTTGGACTCGTCGAATAATATGGGTACACCAATGATCGCTTATATAGACGAGCATCCCGCGGGAGGACGACTCAATATTTCCCAGCCTCCACTTGTAAAACACGTTTTTTTGGGAGATTATGACGCACGAGAGCGCTCGAAGATATACATACATATACACGTCGTGAAAAACAAAATTTAGAGATAATACATGTGCCAATAGGTACGAGGATCAAGAGCGAGTTCGTCACTGTGTGTACAATCATAATATTTTGTCACTCATTGTAATATTTTACGAGTATTTTTTTTTTTTTTTTTTTTTTTTGCTACTGGCACCCACGAAGCAGGCCAATAACCCGCATCATCTTCCTTTTTCCTTTCCAAGGATACCCGTGCAGTTGTAATATTATACATGGGAATCGTTGTTATTACGCATCTTCGAGGCATTTCGCACTTTCGTGAGCGTTGCACCGTTACAAATTTTTCACGCCCAACCGATTCATATTTCCATTTCAATGGAACTTTCTTTTCTTACATTGCTATACGTACACCTCCACCTATATTACCCTTACCGCGTACGTGTTTGTTTATTTGCTTATTTATTTTTCCATACAATAAGTATAAATGCGCTACAGTGTAATCCGTACGAATCTCCGTGAACGTTGCCTCATGCGCGCGAAAGTATCTCTATCTTCCTTTCCTTTCTTCCTCGAACAATTAAGTAATCACGGTGCTTGCTCTGAAAATAATCGCGGAAGAGCTGTGAGAAAGAAAAAAAAAAAAAAAAAAAAACAGGTGTGTGTGCGCGAGCTGGTATAACGACAAACGGAGGAAACATATAAATTAGAGAGTTAGGGTTCTAATGAGATCGGAATCTCGGTGGACTGAGGGTGTTGTGAAAAAAAAGAGGGGGACCTGAAAAAGAGCAAATTGCGCTCGGTCGAGTGCACAAATGTGTAGGGGACTTTGTAACCGAATGTACGTGCAATATAGATGTCTTTGTAAAAAATATTACTGTAGAGCAGATTAATTCGGGCCAAAATTTTTTAAAACTTATTTAAGTCATAATCAACGCGAAAGAAAAGGTTTAAAAACAACTAAAAACACTGAATGAA